CATTTTAAAAGTTAGGTTTTATGAAAGATAAAATTAAATGACAGAGACAATATTTGGGTGTATATTTGAATTTACCACTGTTATAGTAAACTAGCCTCTTTCATCACTTGGTAAGTTAAAACAATAATCAATGTTTACTTAAATAGAGCAGAATTAATGCCAGAGAGACAACTTCAGGAGAATTTTCCTGTATAGTATACTTGCACTGAATTTATGTTAAAATATATAGGATTCTGGAGCTTTTGAGTGCTTTCCAGCTGTGATAGGTTGTTTATGATTTTTTACATGCTGTTTGCATTCTTAAGTGTGTCACAGGAATTAACATTAGTTTAACTGAATTGACAAGTGCAAAATATAACTGTTGATTTGTAGTTGAATTCTTGATGGGGGGAGGGAACAGAGCTTGTTTTTATCATGTATCTGTTAACAGTGCTAGAACGTACTGTTTCTTTTGGCAGAGATTATCTTGCTAGGTTCTCAGTATTAAGAATTGAAAATGTAATAATGAATTATCTTTATTCCTGGAAATGGTCTTTCCAAAATGAGGTTGTGGGAGTAAAATGGGATAGCTGTTTGCTGAGCAGACAAACACTGGAGACTAGGTAGAAAACTTAATGCTGGAGCTGTAACCTGTAAGCCTGGCTGTCACTACAATGCAGGTCTTTTAGTGCCTTTACTCAGCTGACACACATTTGCTGTGATAACATCATTGAACCAAAGGGATTCAAGTAGGTTGGAATTTCCTTGTGTTTTGCTCTGCATTACATGCAAACTATTGTTCTTTGAGTAGTTACTTTAATAAACTCCACCCACTCCCCCAACTTATTTTAAGGTCACAGAGTTGGACATGAACATCCAAGCAGATATTTGGAAAAAAATTACACTTGTATGGAAGATTGTGACTTGAAAAATATGTGGGGCTAGACTCAGTGGCTCAGGAGGCCTGTAATCCCAGTGCTTTAGGAGGTCAAGGCTGGAGGATCACTTGAGCCCCGGAGTTTGAGACCAGCCTGGGCAACATAGCAAGGCCCCCATCTCTACAAAAAACTTAGAAAAATATTAGCCAGGCACAGTGGCGTGTACCCATGGTCCTAGCTACTCAAGAGGCTGAGGCAGGAGGATCACTTGTGCTCTGAAGTTTGAGGTTGCTGTGAGCTATGATGGCACCACTACATTCTAGCCTGGGTGATAGAGAAAGACCCTGTCTCAGAAAATAAAAGTAAAAAGAGCCGGGCGCGGTGGCTCACGCCTGTAATCCCAGCACTTTGGGAGGCTGAGGCAGGTGGATCACGAGGTCAAGAGATCGAGACCATCCTGGTCAACATGGTGAAACTCTGTCTCTACT